TGTTCTCTGACCTTCACACCCAAGTGCATGTGAGGTTGTGTATAAATGAATAGACAGATGATAGATGATGGATGGATGGATGGATGGATGGATGGATGGATGGACGGATGGACAGATGGATGATAGAGAAATCTTTAAAAGGAAAGAAAAAGACAACGGGCTAAGAATAAAGCTCAGTGGTAGAGTGCTTGCCTGGCATGGGCAAAGGTTCTGGATTCATTCCCTAGCATTGGAGGAAAACAAAAGAGACAAGTAAAGGAGAACACCATGGTAACAGACTGGAAGATTCAGTATTAGAAAGACATCAAATCTATCAAAATTTATCTGTGCACTTTATAAATGTAATGCCAATCAATGTCTTGGTAGCTTTTTCTGTGGAATAAAAAAACTGATTGTAAAGGTTATATGAAAATGTAAAGAACTAAGGAAGTCTTGAAAAACAATAAAACTTATGAATGAGGCGGCACTACACTACAGTGGGAATGGGTGTCTTTTCAACCCATGATGCGAATCCTCTGGATATCTGCTATATAGAGAAATATGAGTTGTGTTTTAAGATTTTTGGTTTTTGTTGTTTCATTTTCTTTTTAAAGACAGGGTCTCACTATTGATCCATGGTGATCTTATGATCTTCCTGCCTCAGCTTCAGTGCTGGAATTACAGGCAGGCCCCATAACACCTGACTGAATGCTAATCTTTAGCTCATGCTGTACAATCAAATAGAGATAAACTGTAGATGTAAATATCAAGATTGCAAGATTGAAAACAATAAAAGTTTCTAGAAGAAAACTGAATACATTGGTATCTCAGGGGTATTTTTTAATAGGACACAAAATGCATTAATCATAAATGATGAAAAATTAAATATGAAAATTCATAGCTTCTAGTCATCAAAAGTCATTTTTTAGGTTTATTTTTTTAAATATTATTTTTATGTGTACAAGTGTATTGCCTGCATGTATGTGAGTGCACCTGTGTCATACAATGCTGCAGAGGTCAGAAGAGGGTGTCAGATTCCCCTGGAACTGGAGTTAAGGACGGTTCTTGACCTCCATGTGGGTGCTGGGAATTGAACCCGGGTCCTCTGCAAGAGCAGTCACTGCTCTTAACCGCTGAGCCATCTCTGCAGCCTCAAAAGTCATTCTTAAGAATAATAAAGCAAGACACCAACTGAACAGTATTATTTGGCTGACAGAGTCTTAGCTACAATAATTTTTTAAGGTTGTTAGGGAAAAAAGTGAGGGAGAAATTGGGCAAACAAGTAGACCAGGAACTTTACAATAGAGGATATTTAACTGGACAGTAAGCATATTAAAAAAGGTGCTTGGGGGCTGGAGAGGTGACTCAGGGATTAAGAGCACTTGCTGTTCTTCCAGGAGACCCAGGTTTGATTCCAAACACCCATGTGGTGGTATGGCAGCTCTGCTGCCCCCTTCCAGCCTTTGTGGATACTACACACATACCAGTAAACATACCAGCAAATCAAAATACTTGTACAAATAAAAATAAATTTTTTAAAAAAATCTTAAAGTGTCAACATCTTTAGTCATCAGAAAAATTAAAATTATACCACAGAAAGATATGATTGCACCATTACTACAATAGGTGAAATGAAAAAGACACAATGTGTCCAAAAATATGGTATACTGCTGTTAGGAATGCAAACCAGTAGTTAACTTTGGAAAATTGGTAGTGTATCTATCAAAGTTAAATATCTATGTACCTTTTTATCCTAAAATTCCAACACTAGGTATATACTCAACAAAAACACACACACTCATCAAACATATGCACAAAAATATTCACAGCACCCCTGTTTTAACAGCACCGAAGTAAAAACAACTCAAATGTCCATTTACAGTAAGCAGGACAATTAAACTATGATATAGTTCTATAATGGAATAGTACACAACAATGAGAAAATAAACATTGCTACCTATAAGATGGAAATCACAAACAATACTGAAAGAGAAAAGAAAGTCAATGCAGATACTATTTTAGTCCATTAAATTAAAGTTCAGAAACATGCAGAATTTATCAGTGGTATTTGAATTCAGTAGAGTGGTTACCTGTGTTTGTTTGGGGGCTGGGGGTATGGCAGAGTGATAAGGGTTTGAGAAAAATAATTCAACTTTTAAAATTATGGGTCTGTTCACTTTTTGAATATTCATCAAGCCATACATCTGTAATGTATGTACTTTTCTGTGTACATATTATCCTTTAATAAAAGATTTACTGGGGGGGGGGTAAGAAATTCCTGGAGGGAATTACATTAAGAGACACAGCCTTTTAAACTGGATGTGGTATACCTCTGTAATCCCACCACTTTTATAAGAGATAGGGGAGAAGAGGATCAGGAATTCAACTCCAGCTTTAGCTATACAAGAGTTCTAGCCTAGTTTTCCTGAGATCCTGTTTCAAAAACAGTAACAAAGCAGATTTTACTAGGAGGACTCAAGACGTTAGAAGCAGAAGTAATCTAAAGTATTCTCATTTTCTTCTACTATGTTCTCTTTTAGAACTTCAGTTTCATAAAATCAGTGCTTAAGAATAACCTAAAGCTACGCAGAGTTATCTAGGTTTTGTTGTTGTTTTCTTTGTTTTGATTTTACCTATGCTCCTAATAAAAGAAAATGTAATAATCCATGTGAGGGAAATATCAATGAGCAGTTCATTATATATTTTGCTCCATGCTACACAAATAAAGAGGATCTTATAACAAAGGAACAGAAGACTTCCAAGAATCAAAAGTAATCCTTGTAGATTATGTGCTTGAATCACCAGAGTAGCAGATCACAAAGACATGGGGCCAGAGTCACAGATAGCAAGAGAGAAAAAGCATTTGCCTAGAGTGGCCTCTATTTTGGGGAGGGGGGTGTCTTTTTGAGACAGGGTCTCCCTGTAGCCCCAGCTGGCCTGGAACTCACTATGTAGACCAAGCTGGCCTTGAAGAGATCCGCCTGCCTCTGTGCCCCGCCCCCCAAGAATTGGGATTAAAGGTGTGCGCCACCACAATAGGCTAGAGTTGCCTCTATGAGACAGACAGACAGACAGACAGACAGACAGACAGACACACACACACACACACACACACACACACAGAGAGATGGTGGCAACCAAGTTAAGTGGCTCTTCAAGGAACTGAGATCTATATATTGCCTCCATTAACAACTCTAGCATCTCACTGTGATTAAGAGCAAAAGGACAGTTTTCATTTTGCAAATATTACATAAAATGACTGTTTTAGTTTTTTATTACATTTTATTTATGGGGGGGGCATGTACTATGGCACACATGTGGAGGTCAGGGGACAACTTGTGGCAATCAGTTCTCTCCATGATGTAGGTCCCAGGGGAGAACTCAGGTCATCAGGCTTCACCAAGTGATTTTACCCACTCAATCATCTTACTGGTTCCCATAAAATGAAAATTCTCATTATTTATTGTAATTCAAGATTCACTTAAAAAATTAATTGAAAAACATTCAACCTAATATGTGAATGTGTTCATCACATTAAAAAGATTACTGAAACATACTTCTATGTATGACAGCAAGAACAGCTGTGATATTGTACAAACAACTTGGTTTAAGAGTCAAGAGGTATAGCATAAAACTCCGCATTTAACAAACACAGTAAATGACAAAAGAAAAAAGAAAGCTCTAGCACTAAGGGACTTTCTTCTCTCACTTCTACTATGGTTTCTTCTCTCAATATTTAACAACTTGTACAAAGTCCCTTGGTGCAGGATTGTCATTTATTTTATGTTTCTCCATCATTAAAAATTGGAGAATCATCACAAACGCGCACACGCACGCACACACGCACACACACGTACACACACACACACACACACACACACACACTATATAAGTATTGCCCTATTTTCCAGGCTAGTATAAGCTACAGAATACACATCAAACATACTGTTGGAAGCTGGGAGTTGGTATGTGTGGACATGGTTGAACAACCAAACTCTCATTTAAGGTAGAGATTTGTTGACCATCAACAAAGGGAATACACTGAGAATGATAAAAAGAACCCTGGATGACCATTAGAAAGATCTTGGTCTATTTCTGGTACTACTGACAACCTGCAGACAACCCGAAAATAGTAAGTTACTCCTTTCTTTGTCTCTTAGCTAACCTTTAAGTAGAGAAAGACTGGGAGAAAGGTTTGCCAGGATCTATCTATCTATCTATCTCTCTCTCTCTCTCTCTCTCTCTCTCTCTCTCTCTCTCTCTCTCTCTCTCTTTTACTTTTTCATCCTTGTAAACTAGAAGAAAACTGTCAATTACTACTATTCCTAGAAAACAAACTATAGTCAATTGGCCAATCTCCTAATTTAATATGTACCTAACTTTGGGTTCAATGACAATGGCACTGGCTTTTTAGATAAGTTCAAATTAATCTTTAAAAAGCAGTAAAACCAATTTTGTCTTTGCTTTCTAGAATAATGTATGTTCTATAGAAAAGAGCAGGAAATGGAAATTAATTAAAAGTATGTATTATTGTTTTCACATAATTACATACTAAGTGGTGATTCTTTTGTACTATAATATTTTTTATTCTAGTCAGCATTTATTTAGCACCTACTATTTGATAGACTCAATGCTAAGCAGTTTCAATACATTAAAAGGAAGACAATTTTAGGTAATTTTCAGGTTTAAAGAAAACTATTTTAAGGACTGGAAAATATCTGGTTAAATTAATTTCACTAGGCCCAAGCTAACTTCTTGTCAAAAAAGAAGGGGAAGGGCACAGAATCTTCATTATTTCATTAGCTGTTTTTAAGAAAACAAAAACAGGCAGAAATCAAAATTTAACTCCTATATTCATTCATATCAAGAAGGAACTCAATACTCTCAAATTGTTTCACTTTACTCTTACCTTTTTATATCAAACCTAGAGCAAAATTAAGAACAAGACAAGTCTGTCTAAAGCATACAATTAAAAGCTATTTTATTAAAAAAACAAAAACAAAAAACTAAAAACCTCTTACCTGAGCATGAAAATTAGACATAGTCGTTGTCTCTATATCTTTCTTTCCCAATATCTCCATTTTCACTGGTGAATTGGGAAAATTAAATGAAAAGTAGTCTAAAAAGTCAGGTAAATAAGTAGCTGCCCCATGAACAATACCCATTACATAGAAAGCTGCAGAACCTTCATTTTCACTGAACACTAAACCCACAAATTCTTCTGCAAATCTCTCCATCTCCACAGGAGACAGGCAGGAGAGTTCATTACTGTAGACATGGATAACTGATGCACCTCCATTAGGCTGGTGCTCAATATGAATGAGCTGCTTGAACTCCAAAGTATCCAACTTTTTAAGGTTATTCTGAACTCGTGGTTCCTTTAGTGAGACAAATGGAAACTCACTGTTCTCTGGAATTTTAGAATCACAGTTCTTGGTATCCAAATTCTTTCCACAGTAATCCTTTATGTTATCATTTAGTATGCCTTTGGCTTCTTGATCTTCAACACCAGATAGCAATCCTGAACAGATGGTCTGAATAGATTTGCTATACATTTTTGGACGCTTCCGCTTTTCATTCTCTTTGTGTTTCTTTTTCTTTTTCTTCTTTACCTTTTTAATTTGTAAGTCTTCTACATTTGTTTTTGGTTTCTCCTTCCCACCTGTTGGGAAAAATTTTTTTTTTGAAACTCCATATTTTAATTACTTTAAAAACCATGCTTTTAGGAACTGTTTTGTAAAAAATAAGTTTACTTTTGAAACTTCTGAAAATTTACTGAGAATTAGTTTTCTATTTGGGACTTGAAAGACTCAAGACTGAGTTATACCTAACAGGACATGTAATAAATGCTCAGTGTTTACTGAAGTAATGAGATGAATGAATGTTCTACAAAGTGTAACCTTCAAATTTTAAAGGTAGAAATTGAGAAATGGAAAGTTGAGTAAAAGGAAGTATGTGCAATACCCTTCAGAGAGTTCTTATTGATATATACTATCAATTTTACTTTATCTGAGACTTTTAAAATTGTATCCAGATGCCAATGAGACTTATAAATCACAAAGTGAAACATATTTGCATAGTATAACATCAGTATCAACAGTAAGAAGCATATTAATTCCTTAGCTTTTTATTTCCTCCTTAGTAAACTACCATTTACATCTACCTAAAGGGGCTACTTTCAGTTCATCACAGTTCACGAAGTTCCAAGTCAAGCTCTAGCAAGGTGCACTAAAGAAGATGACAAAATTAGAATCATCTCTCATATCCTAATCTCCAATGATACCCAGGTGCAAGGTAAAGAGACAAAAAGGTAAAAGAGAAAGCCACGAGGGTGTAAAGACATTATAAACTTGTCTACTAAAGGGTTTCTATGAACAAAGCCAAGAGACTCTGGGCTCAGGAACCCAGAAATTCAAGGAACAAAAGATTAATCCACACAGGCTATTCAGTTAGAGAATCTATATGTACATATAAACACACACATCATACACACACAATAATAATGAAATTTTTTTTCTATTTTTCTTCTTATATAGAAGTGAATTTACTGTGGCAATGTGTGTATATGACAAGAAAAGAAAATACGGTTTCCTAAGATAAAAATGAAAATGACATTAAGGTCACAGTTGAGAAAAGGCAGCACTGTTTCTACATTATATCTTTTAGGGTTTTGTTTGGGGAGGGGGAGTTTTGTTTTGATTTTTAAGACAGAATCTCACCTTATAGCCCAGGCAGACCTTCCTGACAGCCTCTAGAGATTACAATGATGAGAATACTGAAATGAGCCACCACATCAGCTTGTTATTTTATTTTTATGATAATCTTCCATGAATAAAACTATCCTACCCCAAACTTTTTGGGGGGTTATTTTGTTGTGTGGGTGTGTGTATGTGTTTGAGACAGGGTCTCACTGTGTATCCCTGGACTGGCCTGGAATTCATTATATTAGGCCTGCCTCTGCCGCCTAAGTGCTGGGATTAATGGCTTCTAACTAACACATCCGGCTTTTTTGCACTTTTGAGATAGGGTTTCAAATTCACTTGCACAGTTGAGGATTACCTTGAATTTCTGATCCTCCAGCCTCCAGCTCCCAAGTTCTGGGATTACAGGCATGCACCACCACAACCAGTATTAGCTGGTGCTAGGAATAGAACCCAGGGCTTCTTGTATGTTAGGTAAGTACCCTTTAAACTGAGAGATATCCCCAGGCCCCAAACTGCTTCTTTACATAAAATCTACAATGTTCAGGGGCTGGAGAGATGGCTCAGCCGTTAAGAGCACTGACTGCTCTTGCAGAGGACCTGAGTTCGGTTCCCAGCACCCACAGGGCGGCTACAAATCGTCCTTAACTCCAGGTCCAGAGGAATCTGAAACTCTCTTCTGACCTCTACGGCATTGCACAACATAGGTGCACTCACATACATGCAGGCAATACACTCACTCATACACATAAAATTTTTAAAAATTAAAAAAATTAAAAATTTACAATGTTCACATATCTCTTCTTCCTTTTAGTTTTCATGAGATGCTCTACCAATTTTCAAAAATAATCCCTCTTGCTAATCCCAAAAAGCCTTGCTGAATATTAACAGTGTTTGTTTTTGTGGTGACACACAACTTTAATCCCAGAACTCCGGAGACAGAGGCAGGCAGATCTCTGTGAGTTCAAGGCCAGCCTGGTCTACACAGCAAGTTCAGGCCAGCTGGGGCAACAAAGAGACCCTGTCTCAAAAAGACCAAAAACAAACCAAAAAAATTATATATATTATATATATAACCTTTTCTTCCTTTGACTTCTCAAAAAGAACCACCTATATCTAATATAGCTCCTTTATTACCTCAATATTCTTTTTTTTTTTTCTTTCTGGGGCTGGAAAGATGGCTCAGCAGTTAAGAACACTTGCAGTCCTTCCAAAGGACCGGGGTTCAATTCCCAGCACCCACATGGCAGCTAACAACCATCCCTAACTCCAGTTTCAGGGGATCTGACACCATCCTCTGGCCTCTGCAGGCACTGCACACATGTAGTGCACTTACCTACATGCAGGCAAAACACTCATACATATAAAATATCAAAAAATATTTGTGTGTATGCGTGCATATGCATGCACGCATACACACACATACACACACACACACACACACACACGTGGAGGTCAGAGAAACGACTTTCGGGAGTCAGTTTCTCCTTATATCATGGGTTCTGGAAATCAATCAAATTCAAGTTATGATGGTTATGACAAGCACGCTTTCACCCTCTAAGCCATCTCACAAGCCTTATATAGATAAATTCCTAAGTAGATAAATTCTTAAATGCAATGAAGAACAAAATTATTATCATTAAAAATAAAAGTAGAGGGTCTAGAGAAATGGCTCAGTAGTTAAAAGCACTGGCTGCTCTTCCAGAGGACTGGGTTCAGCTCCCAGCATTCACATGACAATTAACAGTGGTGTGTAACTCCACTGATGCCCTCTTCTAGCCTCTCTGGGCACTGCACAACATAGGTACACCTGTATACATACAGGCAAATTATTCATGCATGTAAAATAAAAATAAATCAAAAAAATTTTTAACTTATACATACATTAAAAAATTAAGTAAAAATAGAAACTATAAGCATTGTAATTTTGTAAAATCCTAAAAGGTAAAGTGTTAATTCCTTGAAGAGACTAACTATAAGGAGTTAAGATTGAAGAATGCCAACAAATTCTGTTATACATTTATAAAGATTCAGATTCAGGTTAGTATCTTAAGAACAAAAACTAGGGCCTGGGCATGTCATGTAGTTGGTACAGTGCTTGCCAGAGTGCAGGAAACACCCCAATCAATTCCCAACACTGCACAAAACTGGCTATGTTACTGTACATCTATAACCCCAGCCCTCAGGAGGTAGAGGTAGAAGGATCAGAAATTCAAGGTCACCCTCAGCAACAATGCAAGTTCAAAATCAGCATGAAATACAAGAAATTGTCTCAAAAATTAATTAACCAATCAAACAATTTTCAAAAACAAACAAAAATACTCTGCTTTTTGCAGAGTAAGGGCTGGAGAGATAGCTCAGTGGTTAAGAACACTAGCTGTTCTTGCAGAAGACCCGGGTTCGAATCACAGCACCCACATGGCAGCTAACAACTGTCTGTAACTCCAGTTCCAGGGGATTGGGCGCCATCTTCTGACCTCCTTGGGCACTGTATGACATGGGTCCACTTATATACACGCAGGCAGTACATGCATACACATAAAATAAAAATTTTTTAAAAAGCAGAGTAAAACAGTGACCTAGCCAATATGAAAGATGAACATTTGCATATATGTATTTTATAGATATATGCAAAAAGATCAAGCAAATCAAGGAAAAAGGATATCAATAAAATAAAGACTGTTATTTAATCACATGTAAAGGGCATAAGTATGATTAATAACATTCTTAAACTCCATAATAGAAACTACATGGAAATTGCACAAATAAAATGGTTTTGAAATAAGCAAAAGTTCATTGTAATGAAAATATTTAAAATCTTGCATTTACACTTAACACAGTTTTAAAAATTAAAATAGAAACTACTCTGTCACTAAGCCATATTGCTTTGAAATGAAACAGACAAAACATTTAGTCTATTCCGTAGTAGTAAGGATGAACTAATAAAATATTACAACAGGCAGCAATTTAAAAATGAAAACTAGGAGCCTGAAGAGATGGCTCAGCATATAAGAGCACTGGCTACTCTTGTTGAGGACCTGGGTTTGATTCCTGGCATCTACATGGCAGCTAACAACCATCTGTAACTCCAGTTCCAGGGGATCTGATGACTTCCTTTGACCTCCGTGGGTACTGCATGACATAGGTACACCTACTTACATGCCAACAATACACTCATACACATAATTTTTTTTTAATGAAAACTAGTAAGAAATCAGTAAGAGACTCTTATGTTGGGTATTAAGGAGCTAGATTCTCCTGGCAAACTCTTGGTAATTAAATAATACAGTAGGTACAGTGTACAGAAAGCCTACCTGAGACTTTATCCTTAGAAAGGTCTGCTTGCAAAGTTGGCCCATGCCTGACACTTGGAAACTTGTATTTTGGAAGGGTTCCCACTATTACCTGGTAACAGAGGTCCACTGTTTGTATTTGTACAAACAATATGGTATAATGATGAACATTTGCTTTTCTTCTGGAAATCTGGAGTTTTGGTCCATGGGAGGCAGATGGTATCAGTGTACCCAACTCACAAGAAAACCCTGGGACTCTAATGAGCTTCCCTGGTAGACAACATTTCATATATGTCATCACAATTTACTACTGAATTAAGCACATCCTGTGTGACCCCACTGAGAGAGGACTTAGAAACATGTGCTTGGTTATCCTGAAGATAGCATTCCATGTACTTTTTCTCTGTGCTGATTTTATCTTAGTTTTACAATACCAAATCGCAGCATGAGAATACTATATGAGTCTTCCTAGCACATCAGAAAACCTGAAGGGAGGTTTGGGAAGCCCCAATGAACAGGTAAAATGTATTCTTTACATTCAACCAAACTAGCTTTCACTGGAGAAATTTTAAGTGCCTTATATAATATCTGATTTCCTGTCGGTACATTAGATGCCTATGTAGAAAATTCTAAAGTACCATAAGAAAATAAGATCATTTTTAATATCA